GGAGGCAGAGGACCCGAAGTGGCAGCAGCCTGAGTGGCAATATTTCGGGAGGGAATCAATCCCGTTCTACCTAGTACGATTAGCCAAAATATCACTCCTACCAAATGCACAATGACTGGTGACATTAAATACTATTGCATGAACACTGGATGGGCGTCCACCTCTACCTCACTTCTTCACAAAATCAATAAATAATAATGATCAACCATCACTGGGAATCAAACCATCGTTGCAGAGAGGTTACCAATTCTTCGAGCGCTGGTCGTGCCTCTTGCCGTTCGGACGACTGGCTATGCGGAATGAGCTTCGGTCTTGATGTCGGATGTGTCCGTTCCAAATCATCCTCACGGAGTCAAAGGAATGACTACTGCCTCAGGGTGAGGGGGATCGGGACCCCCACCACGCAATGGCTGACAACATCACTATCTTCCTCCTAAACCGGAAGGCGCCGACCCTCTCGCTGCACAGCGCTCCCGCCTCAAATCTCTCTTCCCTCGTTTTTCTTTTCCTCCTCGTAGGCCCGAAATCCCTTTGTTGTTGTTGTTGTTCTTGCTCTTCTTCTTCTTGTTGTTGGTTGTTGTTGTTGGTGTTGTTGTTGGTGTTGTTTTTACCGTGCACCCTCAGTGAATGACACATTGACTAGGTAGGCGGACGAAACCAATAGCTAAGTCCTGCTAGTACTTTTCAAACATTTTTCTGCCTGTCTGAAACCCCCCGACCGAGCTGCTAGCTGAACTTCGCCTCTTGTCTGGTACTTGGCAGCAATAAGCATTCTCTCCCCCCCCACCCCCCCCCACCCCCGACAGAGCTGCTAGTGGGACGTGGCCCCCTGTCTGGTTCTTGGCAGCAATGGAAGCATCCCACCGCCCACTCCACCACCAGCCCCACCAGCCCCACCAGCCCCACCGCCACCACCACCACCACTGTCGCTACCACCAAGAAAGACACAAAAACATGGATGTGGATGGGGATTGGTGCAAGTGATCCACAGGACCTTGTCAGCAGCAGCCATTGACTACAGACTGTAGGACAGTCTGTAGTGTATTTCATTCATTTGTTGAGTTGCTCGTTTATTTGATGAAAGAAAGTGGGGGCATTCTCTGCTTTATTATATGTTCACATTTTCTTAGAATCTTTCTTTGTTGTGTATTTACCTGATTTGCACATGTTTAGAGGATGCACAGAACATCTGAAAGGATTCTAAAGAGAGCAAGGACACACAGTCCGACAGCACACGGCTGAGGTTTGCCCACAATTTCAACAACAAGGGGCACCGCTGCACTACTGTCCACATGCACAAAAGAACAACAAAAAATATGGCGGCGTATCTTCCCATGTTCTCGTAAAAGATTCATTCTTATTTTCTGCATTTTGCACAGGAGTGCAGCGAGGCACCCAGGTCAGCGCTGCCTCACCCCCCACCGCGTCTTTCCACTCTTTCGCTTTCTGTTTTGTTTTTTTTGGAAATTGATCGTCTTTTCAAATCGGCCTCGTTCTCCTCTTCTTCCCCCCCCCGCCCCCGTCCCCGCCCGCCCGCCCTTCCTTTTCCCCTTGTCCTCCTGCCTGTCCCCCACCTCTTTTTGCGGCTTGCGCCGTTGCTGCCCGCCCTGCCTGCCTTGTTTCTTCATGTTTTGTTTTTTTCTCGTTTTCGTCCGCTGCCTGTCCTTATGTTCCTGGGGTGTGGTCCCACTGTAGCAAAGAGGGTCTGATCGAATGCCCGAATCTGGACGAGCTTACGGAGATGTGCAGGAAATCGAGATTGAACTGATTTTTTGCATCTATGGCTAAAACACATCCAGATTCAGGATTTCTTTTCTTATCCTTTTTGCATAGTGGGACCTCAGCCCTGACCTTTCTTGGGCAGCACAAACACAGCTGCCATCTCCGTACGGTTCCGTACGCCTGGCCGCCGATCCGCCTCCAGCGCAGGAAGGTATCCCGCTGCACCCGGTCGGTCCCTCGCGGACCAGCTGTCTGCTCTTCCCTTGAGCACTCAGCGAATCATTCCCTTCTGCAGTTGCCCTTTTTTTTTTTTTTTTGTTTTTTTTTGTTTTTTTTTTGGAGGTGGTTGCTTTGTCCTTGACCTCTCTTTCGCGTCTTGCTTTGGCTTTCCTTCCTGATTATTAGGGCATACTCACACTGGACCTTCCTGGCGCAGCTCTGGACGTAATGGCGGTCAGATGCACGCATTGTCGGCCGTAATTGCGGTCTGATACATGCAGAGAAGTCCCAGTCTTTGTACGTCTCGTTTATCTTTGCTTTCGCTTTGCGCGCTCACCTCGCCTGACAAGGACAGCAAAGAAACAGTAAAGAAAAAAAAAAAAAAGAAAAAAAAAAGAAACAATAGCGTGTTGCGTGCTGCTGCCTGAGTGTGGTTCGGTGGGCCCACAGGACTGAACGTCTACGTCCGGTCCAGGCCGTGTTCATTCACGGCACTGGGACTTTCCTTGACGTATCCGACCGCAATACAGCCTCGAGTGAATGTGCCTGACCTCAATTTCATCCAGATCTCAGTCGTCCGGTCCTACCGGTAGAGTACGAGCTATGGGCCCTCTCGCTCCGCTACTCTCGAAACGCAAGTAGTGGAGCGACGTCCCGCCCATGCTCTCATCAGATTTTTTTTTAAATTTTTTTTTATAATTTTTTTTTTGCTCTCATCAGATTTACCGTCAAAGGTCAGGTCCTTGTACGGGTATATAGTGAGACTTCCTGGGACTTCGTGGGGCTTAGTGGGACTTCTTAGTGGGACCTGGCCCCACCCTCAGGGCTGTGCCGCCGAGTCCCCCAGCCGGTCCGTCATACCGTACCAGTGCGGTAGTGGGACTTCGTGGGACTTCGTGGGACCAGGGCCCACCCTGCCCTGGGCGGGGCCGAATCCGATTCCGATCACGATCGCGATCAACGGCCGCACCTTCCGTGTATGTCGCCCAGTGGATCAGATTGTTCGACACTGCTGCATCAGAGAAGCCCAGTGAGCGACATACATACGACATACGGCCTCGCTCCGCCCGCTGCACTCGACATGCGCACAAAAGACAAAAAATAATGGCGGTGTATCTTTCCGCTGTTTTAGCGGACGATTCACGCTCGTTTGGCTTTGCACACATGTCGCGAGTAGTGGAGCGAGGCCCATATATATATATATGCGACAATATATATATATATGAGTGTATATATATATATATATATATGCAAACAAAAAATAAACTGCCCGTTCTCGGCTTTGAAAACCATTCCTAATTAAAGTAATTAAATTCAAACACTAAAAAAAACATAAACAAAAAAAAATGAAATGAAAAAAGCCGTTTTTTTCATTTCCGCGGGGGCGTGGGTAAACGCCATGGGTTGGGTTGCGTGACACACACAGAGGCGAACGGTGGGCCAAGCCCATGTGGCCGGGGGTGAGGTCCCACCCACTGGGTAGGTAGCAAAGAGGGTTAGATAAATATCCTGAATCTGGACGTGTTTTCAGCAGAGATGCGGAAAAGCAGTTCAATCTCGACATTCTGCACCTTTCCATAAACAAGTCCAGATTCGGGTGTTCAATCCAATCCTCTTTGCTAGTGGGACTTCGCCCCAGTTGCGAGCGCACAGAGGCAGGTGTTACCGAACAGATCACGTGCTCGAAGCCTGCAGGAACCCCAGGTGAAAAAGACCATCGCCACACCACTCCCGAAATGTGCGAAATGAGAATGAACTTGCTGCTAGATCATGGCCAGATGCGTCCGCCTCAGTTTAGTCTTTCTTTTCCACATTTTTCGAGAGTGGTGTGGCGGGGCCCAAAGTGGGAAAAAGGAAGGAAAGGCAGACTGCCGGAGAGGGCGGCAGCGAAGCGAGGCGCCGAAGAAGAGAGCGCGGGGGCAAGGTCCCACTTGCACGGATTAGGAGATTTCGGCCGTTGATCTTTGTTATCTACGGTCAGAAAATCAGTTAATTCGTGCAGAGAGCAAGAACAGACGCAGAAGAAAAAAAAAAAGAGAAAAGAAGGCAGAAAAAAAGAAAAACAAATGGAAAAAGCAAAAAAGAAGTAAAAGAAAAAAGAAAAAAGAAAAAAGAAAAAAGAAAAAGAAGTATGTAAAGACCGCAAGAGGAGGAAAGAACGGGGACGACAGCTCACGGTCTGAGATCCGGACCTCGCCTGCTGGACCGCAACCGAGGCCCGGCCATCGTTGTTTTGTCTTTTCTTCGTGAATTTCCCCAAAAGTGAAATGGAATGAGGGGGCCCCAAAACTTCCTTTTTAGGTAAGGAGAACGTTCGGGCAACCGGCGGGACAGGAGGGTGGGCGTTGGCGGGGGGGCGCGGGGCGGCGGAGCGCCGTTTCCTCCATATCCGCGGACAGTCCGACTAGGAAGCGCTATCATCGTTCTTTTCTTCCCCCGGTCCTCCGCTCCCCCGCCTCCCCCGCCTCCCCCGTGCTTTCCTTCAGGCCTGCATGCCCATCGTACCGTCGTCGCTCCGCCTAAATTGTCCTTCTGCACTCCAATGAGTCCGCCCAGTCCAGTCCAGTCCAATAATAAGATCAAGTCGACATCACAAGCAAACGAGAGCGCTACTAAAGCGACTCAAGTCGCCGTCGAAGTAAACTAAGGTAGTAGTGGTGGTAGTGGCAGTAATATAGTCGAAGTAAATGTATACTACTATACTATACTATACCGTGGTTCTCGGACGGTTAACAGGTAGAGGTAGAGCCTATACAGTAAGATAGGAAGGAGGGCAGGAGGGCGGCACATGTGAAAAATGTAGAGGAGAGAACGAGGTAAAAGGAGGTGGAAGGCGAGGAGGAGGAGGAGGAGGAGAAGGGAGAGGCAAGAGGGAGCTGGACGCAGGGCGGGAGAGAGAGAGAGAGAGAGAGAGAGAGAGAGAGAGAGAGAGAGGGGAGCAGGAGGGAACAGTGTAGGGCTGGGGGGGAGAAGAGAGGGGAAACTGGCGGGGACAAGAGAGAGAGGAAACTGGCGGGGAGAAGCGAGGGGAAACTGGCGGGGCGGAGTATTGGAAGCGACGAAGGGAACGAAGAGAGGCGGGTGTGTGGCGCGGTCGCGGTTGCAAATATCAGAGCTGGTGATGCTGATGGGTAGAGTGTTGTCGGGAGAGAGTGGTGGGTCGGTAGACAGAGAGAGAGAGAGAGAGGTGGTGGAGGGGGATTACAGGACATGACATGATGTTCTTGGGAGTCGAGGGAAGCGTTGCTCATGACTGATTCGAGGGGATGAGTTTGTTGCTCGTAGGTGTGTGAGCAGTGGGAGAGAGAGAAGGTAGGTGTGGTCCGGGGAGAGCGGAAGTTGTGTGGGGAGAGGCGGTGGCGGGCAGGAGGAAGAGGGGGAGGGGGGGGGGGGGGGGGGGGGGTGGGTGAGTAGGTAGGAGGAGAGAACGGTCCGATTATGTCCTCGTGTGCTCGGGGTTTTGTTGACCTCCATAGAAAACGACGAGCTCCGGCTATGGTGGCCGAGTGATTACCACTCCCTCTCCTCGGGGCAAGTTGTGGTTTCTGTGCGTATCGGGCATGTCTTCTGTAGCAATCCATTCGTCACCTTTCTTTCCCTTGCGTTATTCACTTCTCTTGTCTGCGCTGAAAGGAAGGGCTCGACTCAATACCGAGAGCGGACGGTTGGGATGGGGGGGTGGGGGAGGGATGAAGGCAGAGGATAACGGGTCGTAGTAGCGTGTGAAAGACAAGGCAAGGCGAAGGAGTCGTAATGTGTCTGTTCATCGGGGTGCAAAGGACAGGGTGGTGGGAGGGCAGGGGGAAGGTGGACTAGCGTCCGGCAGCTTCCTGATGGGGAGAGAAAAGAAGGGGAGGTGGTAGATGTTAGTTACTTCTGTAGTTAAGAGGATTCGCTAGCAGTTGAGCATTGAGCTCCCCACCTCTCTTGCAGCACACAAGTTGTCTTCTTGAATAATTGTCTACACATTTCGAATTACCGAGTCTGTGGGTGTGTTTATATAAGAGAGAGAGAGAGAGAGAGAGAGGTAAGTAGGAGAGCAATCGAAATGTTGCTCGACTCCTTTTGTGCGCCGACTATGGATGCAAGAAGGAAGTCTGTCACAATCACCGCGTAGAAGAAACTCGGCGTTTCTGCGACCGCGTTGTGTCGTATTCGCTTGTCGTTGATAACAGAATTCTTGAACGATCTCTCTTTTTTGAACTATCCCTGTTGGTTAATTTAGGGGTTATGACCTTTTTTCTCCCTCCGGTAGCGTGCGGGAAAGGAAGAAGCCAAGCGTGTTTTCTCACGTGGCCTTTAAACACACACCAAGAGGGATAGCCAGCCAGCGAGTGAGCTGTGGGGCGGGCTAGATAAGAGGGAGTTTTTAGTTCGGTTGGTGAAGATTAGTTCTGGGATTATCGACGGGGGCGAGAGAGGGAGAGAGAGGGGAGAGGAGGGACGGTAAAGTCCCCGGGGTTTGTAAAAGTTCGATTACTTGCTTGTGTAGGGTAGGTAGGAGAGAGAGAGCACAGCTTGGCAACAGGCTTTGTCAGAGTATTTAAGAAGAGAAGAAGTTAAGGTAGAGTAGCAGCAGCAGCAGCAGAGAATAAGGAGAACAAAGAGTAGGTGGAGTGGGGCGCTGCAGGTCGAGGGCACATTCGCAGTTCTCGACGAACGAGATGATGATGATACAGCTGGAAGAGTTGACGGGTCTAAGCAGTCGGGTAACGGGCGGGAATGGAGGGGGGGGGGTAGTAGTAGGAGGGGGAGGGGGGGGAGGGGGGGGCGGGCAGTCAGGCTCCCCAACGAATATCCATGGGGGGGGGGGTTCTTCCYCCTGCACCGATACCGACGAGAGACGAGACGTGTTATCTTCCGTTGGGGGGGGGGCCGGCGCGGGGTGCGATGACCGCCCTGAGGGTGCCACGAGTCATCACGAGAGCTCTGCTGAGGGTCAGCTCTGTCTTAACTCCCTTTCTGCGGATGAACGGCGGAGCTCTGTAATTACCACTGCCACGTGTCCTGCATCTGTGGCTTGTCCTTCTTCTTGTCCCAACTCTGTCGCCGGGCTTTCGAAATCCTCTTCCATCTCGAATGGCAACGGCGCGAACACCACAGGCAACAATAACAGCAGTAGCAGTATGACCAAGAAAGGGGGGGTGCTGGATTCCAGGCTATGGCACGCATGCGCGGGGGGGATGGTGCAGATGGCGGGAGTGGGGACGAGGGTGGTGTATTTTCCGCAGGGGCACGCGGAGCAAGCGGCGACGCAGGTGCCATTTGCGCCGGGTCAGCGGGCGGCAATTCCCTGTCGGGTAGTGAATGTGGACTACCTTGCGGACCCGGAGACGGACGAGGTGTTCTCGAAAATCACCCTTCGGCCGGAGACGGAGAGCTGCAACTCCTCTTCGTCGGGGATACTCTCGCCGACGACCTGCTCGCATCAGCAGTTGAAAGCCGCCGGCAATCTCGGATTAGCGATGGGAGGAGGGGGAGGAGGGGGAGGGGGAGGTGTGTTGGGCACGAGCGGTACAAGTGGAGGTGTAGGACTAGTAGGAGCCGGCGCAAGCGGCGCTGGGTGTAATGGCGGAGTAGGGGAGAGATGCGCCGCCGCCGGCAGCGCTGGCGGCGGCGGCGGCGGCGGAGGTGGGGGCGGTGGTTGCGACAGAGGAGGTGCGCCGACTAACTCTTTTCGAAGCGTGGCCGCGAGCTCGGCGGCGGCTGGCGCAGCTGCAGATGAAGAGAGCTCTGGGGCCGTTGAGGAGCAGACGAAGCCCATGTCGTTTGCCAAGACCCTCACTCAGAGCGATGCCAATAACGGCGGCGGCTTCTCTGTTCCTAGGTACTGTGCGGAGACCATTTTTCCGGCCTTGGATTACAGTTTGGACCCGCCGGTTCAAACTCTTGTGGCTAAGGATGTTCACGGGGAGACGTGGAAGTTTCGCCACATCTACCGCGGAACTCCGCGCCGCCACCTTCTCACGACCGGATGGAGTACCTTCGTCAACGCGAAGAAATTGGTGGCGGGGGATGCGATCGTCTTCCTGCGCAGCGCGTCGGGGGACTTGTGTGTGGGAGTCAGGAGGGCGATGCGAGAACCGGGCAGCGCAGATGCTGCCACGTGGCATTGCTCTTATTCGCCTAGGATTCCCAGGTATGCGATCAAAGGTGGGGATATGTACAGCTCCGCGGAGGGGGTGGCGGGCGCGGCGGGGATGATGGGCATGGGGATGGTCGGGGTGGGGAGGCGCGGAGGCAGTAGCGCTCGTAATCGAGCAAGAATAACGGCGGACTCGGTGCTTGAGGCTGTGGCGCTTGCGGCGCAAGGGAAAGTGTTTGAAGTCGCCTACTACCCAAGGGCAAGCACGGCGGAATTCTGCGTGAAGGAGCAGTTAGTGCAGAACGCTGTGATGCAATCTTGGCAGGTCGGGATGCGATTCAAGATGGCCTTTGAGACAGAGGACTCCTCCCGCATCAGCTGGTTCATGGGGACCATTTGTAGAAAGGAGGATGCGGATCGGGACATGTGGCCGGGATCCCCATGGAGATGCTTGCAGGTAGGGACACACACACTGACACCGTTCTTTTTTTTTTTCAGACACCATTCTGATGCAGGTATTGGTAATTACTACTGTCATAGATATGATTTTGTTATTAAGAAGTAATAATAAAAATAATACTACTGTATATTGTACTTAGTTTTATCGGTTTTTAATTTGTTACTAGAGATTTGTGGGAACGATATGTAGAAAGCGGGATGAGGGTCGAGAAATGCTTGATTGGGATCCCCCATGGAGATGCGCGAAGGTAGGGGGAACAAACACCATGAATGAATAGACGCAGATATTGGGAATTATTGTCGTATCTATTTTTTTGGTATTAATTAATGACACTTTATTTATTATTGTATTTATTATTACTGTTATTTATTTTGCAGAGGTTTATGAGAACGATATGTAGAAAGCAGGATGCGCGTTGAGAAATGGGTGATCGGGGTCCCCATGGAGATGCGCTCAGTCAGGGGAAGAAATAACATTAAGACGCAGGTATTTGTGGAGTACAATATAATATGTTAGTAATTAATAATAATAATAATAATAGTAATAATAATAATAATAATAATAATAATAAAATAATAATAATAATGATAATAATAATAATAACAATAATAATAATAATGATAATAATAATAATAACGATAATAATAATAATAATAATAATAGTCATTAGACTCACTATTGTATTTATTAGTATTGCAGTATTTTATTTATGTTGTGATAATACTATAGTTAATATTGCATTTTATTATTGAAGTATTTGTTGTAGTAGTTTTTATTTTTCAGTATTTTATTCATTCATGTTGTAATAATAGTGCTAGCCTAGTTTTTGTCAGCAGAAAACGTTGGCAGTATAAAAATTGAAACAAGTATAATGACAATGTAATAATATTTTTCATAAATTTTACTTTTGCTGCATTCCATGTATCTCAATATCATACTCGTCAGAACACATTTCTTTTATTGGAGAGAAGTGTGTTGATAAACAAAACAACACAATGTGTTGTTATTTTTTACATTCTTACAAGTTTTTAGTAGCATTTTTTTATGACCTTTTTTTTTTTATAGTTTTAAGAAAGAAAAGAAAGAATAAAGAGGGAAAACAGGATGAAGACGCTCAGAGTATCCGTGACTGCTGTCAAAGATGTCGATGAAGATATAATACAAAATAGGATACCCCCCCAAAAGGATGTGTATTAATATGAAGCGACAATGAAGCGACAATGAGGATTTGTATTAATATGAAGCGACAATCAAGCGACAATCAAGCGACAATGACAATCAGGGCACTTGTTGATCGTTTACCACAACAGGGGTTAAGGTGGATTATCACTTAGTGTAGTAATCAGTCAGTTAGGGGATTCTGCGGACTGTTCGAGGGTTCAGCCTCCTCCTGATACGAGTAGGTAGGTGAAACTCCGACGAAAAAGTGTAGTCTGTCACAGTCCCTCTCGTTTATTGTCCTCTTCTCCCTCCCTCCGTCTCTGCCTAGTACGGTTTACCGGGCAGTTGTGTTTGACGATACGATATATAAGAAGAAGAAAGAAAGAAAGAAAGAAAGCAAAGAAAAAAGAGAAGAAATGGGTGTGTTACTGTAGTATTTGCTTTGTTTGACTGATAGGCCTTCCTCTTCCCTTGTCCTTGCTTTGATTGGATCCCTTTTTCTCTTTCTCTTGCCTCTGTGAGGTTTGGTTTCGCCCTTTTCTTTACCTCTTTGCCGTTTGGCTGCGTGCAAGTGGGTCCTTGTGACATACGGGGATGGGAACAGCCAGCGCTCAACCTGTCATCCTCGTGGCTGGCCTTGTACGTAAGAGGTGATGAACAGGCGGAAGCTTTCCTTCCTTCCTCTACTTCTTTCTTTTTTTTGTTTTGGTTATTACGTTGTTCTTTACTTCCATCTGGTGTGGGGGTGAGTGATAGTCTGCTTTGATTTTCGTCACGGGTACCTTGAGGGCAGTGGTTGGTGGTCCCCACCACCTCAGGGTATCAGTTGTCGGGTAATCGTTGATGCGTAACCACAACCGCGGACTGGGGTTAACGTGGATTACTATCACTTAGTGTAATTAGTCAGTTAGGGGATTCTGCTGACTGTTTTTGAGGGTTCAGGCTCCTCCTGATGAATAGGTAGATGAAACTTAGACGAAACAGTCTGTCTGTCATAGCCCCTCGTTTGTTGTCCTCTTCTCCCTCTTTGCCTACGGTTTACCGGGAAGCTTTGTTTGACTCTATATATATCGTCACAAACAGAACTGCCCGGTAAACCGTAGGCAGAGAGAGAGAAGAGGACAACAAACGAGGGGCTGTGACAAACTGTTTCGTCGGAGTTTCACCGACTCATCAGGAGGCTGAACCCTCAACAGTCTGCAGAATCCCCTCACTGATTACACTGTAAATGATAATCTACCTTGACCAAAATCGAAGTAGACTATCACTCATATATACCTCTTTGCCTTTGGCTGCGTGCAAGTGGGTCTTTATGACACACGGGGATGGGGGCAGCCAGCGCTCAACCTGTCATCCACGTGGTTGGCCTTGTACGTAAGAGGTGACGAACAGGTGGGGCTTTCCTTCTTTTTCTTTTTCTTTTTCTTGTTTTGTCTTTTTCCGCCTTTGCGCTCCGATTTCCAGTGTGACAATATATATCAGCCTCCTGATGAGTCGGTGAAACTCCGACGAAACAGTTTGTCACAGCCCCTCGTTTGTTGTCTTTTCTCTCTCTCTGCCTACGGTTTACCGGGCAGTTCTGTTTGTGACGATATATAGAGTTTTCCATCTGGTGTGGGTGAGTGATAGTCTACTTTGATTTTGGTTAAGGTAGATTATCATTTACAGTGTAATCGGTGAGGGGATTCTGCAGACTGTTGAGGGTTCAGCCTCCTGACGAGTCGGTGAAACTCCGACGAAACAGTTTGTCTCAGCCCCTCGTTTGTTGTCCTCTTCTCTCTCTCTGCCTACGGTTTACCGGGCAGTTCTGTTTGTGACGATATATATATTCGTGTTTTGCAGACGAGTGCTTTTGTCCTGGGTGGTCTTGTCCCGTCGTTTGGCGTGTGTGGGACTGGGGCGGTGCTTGCATGTAGGACTTGTCATCCAGGATCCGTTTTTTGTGCTGTTGTTTATTGCCCCCTGTTCTGTTGTGTTTGGCTGTTTCCTTCCTCTCTTCTTTGCCTCTTTGCCCTTTGGCTGTGTGCGAGTAGGTCGATATGACACACGGGGGTGGGGGCAGCCGCCGCTCAACCTACATCCACGTGGGCGGCCTTGTACGCATGTGACGATATATATGCAGCTCGACGACGAACCAGTCTGTCACCGACCGTAGTTTGTTGTCCTCTTCTCCCTCTCTGCCTACGGTCTACCGGGCAGTTATATATTGTATATATTTATATGTATATAAGTATATGTATATATTTATATGTATATAAGTAGTTAAGTGTCCTTAAATCACCCTTAAATAGCACCAATGAATAAACTGTCCTTAAATGACACTAGAGACGAACGAAAGCGATTATCGACAGGGAAAATAATAGACAGTAAATTGGGTCGTTGAGTGGGGTATGTATGTAATCGACTACCTCCTCGTGTTTTCCTTTTCTTCCCTGCTACCGGCTTCCTTTCCTCCCTCCCCCCCCACCCCCCACCCTTCCCCCTGCTCTGCGAATAGTGCAGACGGTCATTATAGCCGGGGGGGGAAGGAAGCCCTGCTCTGCGAATAGTGCGGACGGCTTTCTGTCCGTATCCGACCGGAAAGACGGACTGTATTCATTCATGATGAGCGTGCGTTATCTAGCGGGACTTTCTTGTGCCCTTTTCACAGTCGCCATCATCGAACCACTTCTCCTTCTCTTTTTTTTTTTTTTTTTTTTTGATTCTTTTATAAAACCTGTCCGCCGCCTCTACGTTGTTTCGTTTCTGTTCCCACTGGTTGGTCGTTTCCCTTTTTGTTCTTTCTCTCTTGCTTTTTTTTTCATCATTTATTTATTTCTTTCTTTTCCCCTCTCGTTTGTCTATAACTTTCGTCTCTGTTTCGGTTGTTGTTTCCTCTTGTCCATGTCGAAGTTTGTCTGATTCGGTTTCAAAGATTGTACTCTTTTGGTGTTGGCGATCCTTCTCTGTCCCTCTCTCCTACATCAGTATGCATGCTTGTCTGTTTTGTTTACAGAGTGTCCCCACTGGTTACAGGTCGTCCCCATCCCTCCTCGGACACCTTGATTGAGTTCTATACAGTTGTCTTATCCCCGTTTTCACTCTTAAATCCCTTGAGGCTTTCCTGCTGTGTCCCCTAGTGTTTCCACCTGTGAATAGAACGCCCGGTCATTATAGATGTATTTGGGCCAACTTCCAGTCTAAATACAGCGATAATGAGCGGGCGTTCTATTCGGGGGAAGAAGGTACTGTTTCCACCTGTGAATAGAACGCCCGGTCACTGTAGCTGTGTTGGGAGCCATTTCAAGATGCAGCGAATTCCCTGGCGTTCTATTCGATTAAAACAAGGCTCGTTGTGTGTTCTCTTCCGCCTCTCGCTTTCTTCCATTTCTCTCTCTCTGTGCCGCTCTCTCTTTTTCCATCTCTCCTCTCTCTCGCCTTTCTCTCCTTTGCTTTGCTTGTTGTACTCTTTTTCAAGATGCAGTGAATTCCCTGGCGTTCTATTCGACTAAAAAAAAGGCCCGTTGTGTTTTCTCTTCCGCCTCTCGTTTTCTTCCATTTCTCTCTCTCTCTCTCGCTCTCTTTTTCCATCTCTCCTCTCTCCCCTTTCTCTCCTTTGCTTTGCTTGTTGTACTCTCTTTCTTCTCTCTCTCTCTCTCTCTCTCTTTCTCGTCTACTCTTTGTGATCGTTCACGTTTGCTTGTTGGGTCCCCCTCTCTGTCCTGCATTGTGTTACGCCTTTTTTTTTTCTTTTTCATTACACTTCTTTTTTCCGGTTAGCATTTATCTTGTTTGGCTTCTTTTTTTTAACATTACGCTCTTGAATGAAGCTTCACGTCGGCGGCAGAGCTTGGGCG